ATTTTGGGACCAAAGAAAGGGGGGTTTTTAGGGGGAAAACCCCAGAATTTTGGGAGAAATCCCACGAGTTTAACCCCGCCCCCTTTGACACTCAGGCCACGCCCCCCATTAAGCCCCTCCCCCTCACAAATGGGCGGAGCCATCGCGGTCACCGAGCGTTTATTGGACGTCACGGCCCCGCCCCTCCCCCACCGGCCACACCCAGCGGGGGGCGGGGCCAGAGAGGGGGCGGGGCCGGGGAGGACACACCCACATCATGGGGGGGGAGGGGCGGGAGGGGGAGGGGCTTCATCGGGTGGGGGAGGGGCCTCGGCGCCGGGTGGGGGAGGGGCGGGAGGAGGGGGCGGGGCCCCGGGGGGGGGGAGGGGATTTGTCACCCCAAAAATGGGGGGAGGGGGAGGGGCCTTTTCCCCCCAAATCTGTGGGGCAGAAAGGACCCTTTTTACCCCAAATTTATGGGGCAGAAAGGACCTTTTTGACCCCAAACTTGTTGGGTAAAAAAGACCCTTTTTACCCCAAACTTGTGGGGCAGAAATGACTTTTTTTACCCCAAATTTATGGGGCAGAATTGACCCTTTTTACCCCAGATTTCTGGGGCAGAAAGGACCTTTTTTACCCCAAATTTGTTGGGTAAAAAAGACCCTTTTTACCCCAAACTTATGGGGCAGTAAGAACCTTTTTTACCCCAAATTTATGGGGCAGAATTGACTCTTTTTACCCCAAATTTATGGAGCAGAAAGGACCTTTTTGACCCCAAATTTGTTGGGTAAAAAAGACCCTTTTTACCCCAAACTTGTGGGGCAGAAAGGACATTTTTTACCCCAAATTTGTGGGGCAGAAAAGACGTTTTTCACCCCAAAAATGTAGGGAGAAAAGACCATTTTACCCAATATTTGTGGGGCAGAAAAGACATTTTTTTACCCCAAATTTATAGGGCAGAAAAGACCCTTTTTAGCCCAGAGTTCTGGGGCAGAAAAGACCCTTTTGACCCCAAATTTATGGGTCAGAAAAGACATTTTTAACCCCAAAAATGTGGGGTAAAAAGACCCTTTTTAACCCGAATTTATGGGGTGGGGGAGGGGCCTTTTCACCCCCAAAATCCGGAGGGGTGGGATCCTCTTCACCCCTCCCCCCCTCTCCTCCGGGTGGGGGGAGGGGTCTGGGCCCCTCCCCCCCCCCCCCCCCCCCCGGGCTGCCCCCGGGGGGCCCCCCCCATGGGGGGGCGGGGGCCGGGGTGGGGGGAGGGGCCGGGGGCGGCGATGGGGCAGCCGGAACCTGGGGATCTGGGGGGGGAGGAGACATTTTAGCCCCTCCCCCCTTGACCCCACCCATTTAGCCCCTCCCCCTTGATGCTCCACCCCCTTTAGCCCCTCCCCCTTGACCCCACCCCTTT